AGCTGCAGGCACCCAGGGGATTATTCTTCCATGTGACTTTAGGTCTGGCCTGACGAGGAAGAGATCCTGAAAATCTTGAAGGATTCCTGGCCACCAGGATTCTGAGGGGAAAGGTTATACAGATTATTATAACTGATGGAGAAAACTTCCTTCTGATAACATTTCTAACCCACGGATCTGTTAAGTTCCCTGCGCAGTGCTGTCTCGCCTGCTGTGTGAGGAGTAACACAGATGCTGGTTTTATTTCAGAGCAGGAAACAACCAGTTGAATACTTTATAGGAACCTTGGTTCTCATTTGGCTAATTTTATTTTGCAGCGTTTCCCTGTAACTTTCTTTTGTTTTCATTCAGTAACACAGCCAGAAAGAATGGAGTGAAAAGTTTAGTAATCTGTTGAATGTTTAAAAAACAAGCTCAAAATTAGCTACATATAGAGTTTTCATTGAATATTATTACTTAATGAAAGTTAGCTTTATTTTTCAAGCTTTCTTTTACATGGTATTGTAGCTGATACATCCTATATTTCTAATCCAGTACTCTATAAAACTATTTTCAGGGGACAAAGAGGTAGTTAAATCCCTCATTGATAGTGGTGGGCCTCAGCTCTTCCTGTAGCCATTGTGAGTGTTAGGCTGGATGACTTTTTTTTTTTTTAAAATAATAGAATAGTTTATTTTTACATCATTTTGTGCCTTTTTCCATCTCAGTTGTAACCCCCCTGGATTTCCCATCACCAAAGCACCCTGTGCCATCACCATAGTCCAGTGCATTTCCCTCCACCCACTGTTTTTTGATCCCATTGCCCACCCCAACCCATAAAATGTCTCTGGTATATAGCTGTTCATTATTATTACTATTTTCTTGCCTGGTCCATTATACTCCTGCTATGAGGGAAACCATCTGGTATTTTTCCTTTTCTTTCTGGCTTATTTCACTAAGCATGATCTTTTCCAGCTCCACCCGTGTTGCTGCAAAAGGCTTGTGTTTATTATTATTATTTTTGGTTGCTGAGTAATATTCCATTGTGTATATGTACCACATCTTTTAAATCCAGTCATCCACTTTTGGGCATTTGGGTTGTTTCCATGTCTTTCCAATTGTAAATAAAGCAGCAATAAACATGGGGGTGCAAGTATCTTTTTGAATTAGTGTGTTTGTGTCTTTTGGGTAGATGCCTACAAGTGGGATTGCTGGGTCATAGGGAAGCTCCATGTTAAGCCATTTGAGGATCCTCCAAACAGTTTTCTACAGTGGTTGTACTAGTTTGCATTCCCACCAGCAGTGCAGGAGAGTTCCTTTTTCTCCACATCCTTGCCAACATTTGTTGTTGCTAGTTGTTTGAAGATGTGCCATTCTCACTGGGGTGAGGTGGCATCTCACTGTGGTTTTAACTTGCATTTCCCTTATTACATGATGATGTTGAACATTTTTTCATATGCTTGTTGGCCATCTGCATTTCCTCTTTGGAGAAGTGTCTTTTTAGCTCTTCTGACCATTTTTTTGATGGGGTTTTTATTTTTGTTGAGTTTCATCAGTTCTTTGTATACCTTTGTGATCAATCCTTTATTGCTAGTTTTGTGTGAGAAATTCTTTTCCCAATCAGTGGGCTGTCTGTTTGTTTTTTTGTAATGTCTCTTTTGCTGTACAGAAGCTCTTTAACTTGATGTAGTCCCATCTACTTATCCTTGCCTTCACTATCATTGCATTGGGTGCTGTTCATTATTATTATTCCTCTCCCCCTCCTTTATGCTCCTGCTATAAGTGAAACCCTCCGACATTTTTCTTTTTCTCTCTGGCTTATTTCACTAAGCATGATCCCTTCTAGTTCCAACCATGTTGCTGCAAAAGGCATGAGTTTATCTTTTTTGATCACTGAGTAACATCTCATTGTATATATATATACACCACATCTTTTTAATCCCAGGCTGGATGACTTTTAAAATCTTTTCCAGTCTAGGATTAGAAAACTGCTTTCTGTTTACACAAACTTTCTACTGCTTGAGAAAAATCTAATTTGTTGGAAAGCAAACCAACATTCAAATCCATACACTGTTATTCTCACCAGTGGGTCTTCCCTTAATTTGGTGCCTATTTTCATGAAAACAGTTTTCTTTAAAAACCCGAATTTATGCTCCCTCGATAAATTTCAGGGCTGCTTGGAGCAGCACCTGCTTTCTAGTTATGCTGTCTAATTTGGGGGCTCTTCCTTCCTATAGCTTGGGTTGTCAGTGCCCTTGAGTTGCAAACTGGAGGCGGAGAGCTCTGTTCCATACACCGCAGCAAGGCTGATCGTTGCCCCAGCCCGCAGGGACTGCCCTGTCGGTGACCCTCGGCCTGGCGGGCAGCGCCTGCAAGAGGAGAGGCGGCAAGTTTGGTGCCACTGAAACCCCAGAGTCTCCGAATAAGCCCACGCCATACCCTGTGCAGAATCCTATTGCCATTGGCGGGTGTCCCCCAGACACAGGGCAGCATGGACAGTAATAGGAAACCGGCCCCTTCACTGTCTCCTGGCAACCGGTTTCCAAATCCATTAAGTCCCTTGGAATTCGGGATTGCGCTCTTTCTTTTTCTCTCTCTCCCCACCCTGCCCCTGCAAAGCGCCCCTTCGCACCCCCTCTCCCCACGTCTCGTCTTCTCTATTCCCCTACTTTGGAGTTCAGAGACGATATAACTGCTGTGAAAGTCTAAATCCTTATTTACAGTGAGTGAGGACTAGGCTCTTCATGGAATTAAATTTTATACAGATGCTTCTTTTGCTACTGGCTAGCGGCTCTAATTAAATACAGGAAAGTTCTCGCAGGACTTGGAAGGTCCTATCTGAAGATTCAGGTGCGGAATCGGAATACGAAACGCCGCGGAGGACGAAATGTCACCTATCGTTGCTTTTACTCAGCTGGGAAGAGAGCTAGGAGGGTGCAGTTAATCGCCGCCAGCTCTGATGCCCAAAGTTGTCCCAAGTCAGGGAGCTCGGGTTCGCTTTTTCACGTCACACATGAGAACGATCGATCTTTAGGGTCTCGGAGTGAACCTCCCCCCACCCCCGTAAGATCCCCAAAGACAACCCCAAAGGCCCCAACCAACCCGCGGAGCCCCAGACGCGGCACCGGCAGCGGCGGCGTGGGGATGCCAGCCTGCGCCGGCAGAGGGCGCGCGAGAAGACCAGTCAGCATTTGGGGACCCGACGCTCGCGCGAAAGACCGTTTTAAAACATTTTCAATTTATTTTAATTCGCGGCACGTCGGTGTGCGAACCCCCCCGTTCAAGGTAGCACTTCACGTGGCAAACGGCCTCAGAGTTTTGCCACTTTCGGCGGGTCAAGTTCCATTCGAACCGTCTGCGGCTCGGCAGACTCCCGCGAGGCTGCTCCGGCACCGACGGCCCCGCGGCCGTTTCCCTTCCTGTGTCCTCTGCTGTCGCGGCTGCGACCGCGGGCAGGGCTGGGCCCCAGGGCGGACCTTTGTGGGCATCGCAGAGCCCGGGGCACTGCGTGTCGCGCCCCCGGGGCGTCGTGGTCGGCTCTCCCAAGCGAGGGTGCGAGCGGAGCTGCGCTGGCAGCCGCGGGACACCCGGGGACACGATGTGGGGAGCTCTCTCCTTGGAGTTACCTGGCTTCCCAAACAAGGCGCCGAAGACACCTTGGCGATGCCTTTCAAGTTTTCACCGCCTCCAGAGGCCCCACTGCCGGCCTGGTTTTGGGCGCCCCAAGTTTCGCTTTCCCGCTCCCGCGTCCGCACGCGGGGTCCCCGGGACGGGGCGACTCGGGCGCGAACCCGCCCGACCCGGAGGGCGGAGGCCGCCCCGGGCGGAGGAAGGAGGGGTGCGACTCACGCCCGGGCTGGCGGGGCGTTCCAGGTCCGCGCCGAGCTGTCTGCCCGGGGACTTTGGTCCCGGTTCTCTGACCTTGAGCCCGGCGACCGGGAAGGTCGGGTGCCCGCCCCGAGCTGGCCCGTCTGGAAGGGGCAGAAGTGAAAACAGAGGTGAGAGCGAGCGGGACCGACAGATTCTGGCAACGAGGCCACACATTTCCAGAGCCTCCCCCTTCCTCTAATCCAGTCCTTTTTGGGGGGCTGGGCAGAGTGTGCGTGCGTGTGTGTGTGCGTGTG